ATCCAACGCGTGGAGTTCCAACGCGTGGTGATCCAACGCGTGGTGATTCTACGCGTGGTGATCCAACGCGTGGTGATTCAACGCGTGGTGATCCAACGCGTGGTGATTCAACGCGTGGTGATCCAACGCGTGGTGATTCAACGCGTGGTGATCCAACGCGTGGTGATTCAACGCGTGGTGATCCAACGCGTGGTGATTCAACGCGTGGTGATTCTACGCGTGGTGATCCAACGCGTGGTTGATCCAACGCGTGGTGTTCCAACGCGTGGTGGTTCAACGCATGGTGTTCCAACGCGTGGTGATCCAACGCGTGGTGATTCTACGCGTGGTGATCCAACGCGTGGTAATCCAACGCGCGGTAATTTAATGCGTGGTGTTCCAACGCGTGGTGATTCTACGCGTGGTAATCCAACGCGTGGTAATTTAATGCGTGGTGTTCCAACGCGTGGTGATCTAACGCCTGGTGATCCAACGCATGGTGTTCCAACACCTGGTGATCCAATGCGTGGTGATCCAACGCGTGGCAATCCAACGCGTCATGTGCCACGACGCATGATAATACAACGCATGACAACTCAACGCGTACGTAGCCCAACGCATAGCTAATTTGGCGCGTGGTCATACGCATAGGTAATCTAACGTGTGTAATGCAACGCACGGCGATCCAAAACTTCATGCGACGCACAATACGTGTGTAACAAGGTAGCAGGGTGAAGAATAGAAAAAAAGTTGGCGAAGGGCTGAATCATGTCGGGAAGAGCAAAGGGTACAAGGTGTTGGCTATCCGTTGCCGCAAACTTTCACTTTTTTCGTCTCTTTCCCCCTTCTGGCGTCGCTTCGTAAAAACCGCCATGACGATACCATGTCGCCATTGGTTCATTTTCGTTGGATCTCTTCGTCGATTGGACTTATCCCTTCTTCTGGTTACACTGTACGTTTCTCTTTCTATCTCCGTTCGTTTCTCCGTTTCTCTCCGTTCGCTACCTCTCTCTTTCTGTTTCCGTCTTTATCTGTCCCTCGTCGGTCTTCTTCTTTTCCTTTCACTCTCTGGGAATCATCTCTCTTTCCGCTTCTCCAGGTATCTCCCACCCTGTTGTTTTTGACGATATCTCGTCCCCTCCAGCAACCCTCGACGTGTTCTGGGCACGGCAGGAGTCCTTATGTAACTGACACCATTCCGCTAGAGTAACCGGGACAAAATGCTTCTGATACGACCCGCTAAGTAGAAAAGTAACAGGACCGCAAGAAAATCGGCAATTGATTTCGTGCCATCGGTAAATTGTCCAACGCGAAAGTCGTTTTGAAGAACGTTCTTCGTTTCTTTGCCAGTTTATTTCCTTGAATAAACTTTGCCAGTTTATTTCTTTAAATCGAGCGAGAACGAACGGTGTCATCGCGACGCACAGTAATTCAGGTTATGGAAGGTTAAAACGTTCGAGTCGAAGAACAAAGCGAAGCGCAAGGGTTCATTTAATTGTCGCAACGAGAGACGGAGATGTGGATCGGTACGTTCCTCGAATCTGGAGCGGATTCGACGTTCGTCCGTTCTATTGTAGTCGCCTGTAAGAAATTCCGCTTTTGCAATCTTCCCAGGCTCGATTCTAGTTGCGCGCCAATCGACGCTTCAAGAAGGGACGCCCGACAAATGTTCGCGAAACAATGAGCGACGTTGCAAATCCGCCGGAGATCCTTGCGAAATGGCTCCAGATATTTCTATAATCATATTCCATCGGTAAACCGTGAGACACGATATTCGGTTTCTACGATCCGAAACATCGGAACCTGGTAATTTCTTCGGCTCCGAGTGGCCCCTCGGTGGTCCGATTCAATTCGGACAAATATTTGATTTCGGTAAACAGTAGATTGCTACATCGATGGAGATCTATATCAATAATTGATGTGAAATATTAATATAAACTATTAAAATATAAATGGTCGAGTGTTAGATATTACCGAGTGTTAGATAGCTAAGGATTATAATATATGTCACAAGAATGACCGCTCCACAAGTTTCTTATTATAAGGAACTTACACATTTTGTTAAAGTACATTCCTTGAAATCAGCAATGATTTTCATCAAGGTAAAGAATAAATGTACTAATTTATGTTTCGTCGTTTATTTATTTTTAATTTCAAATTATAATTTGAAATTTAATTTCAATTTATTTCTGAAATTATCTCAATTTATCTGAAATTATTTCAATTTATTTCTGAAATATTTTTGAAATTAAATTTCAAATTATTTCAAATTATTTAATTTCATTGAGTACACTTTATACGCCGCGTTTGTGCGTGGTATCAGCATGTTGCCATGACACGCAGAATATTCTAAGCAAAATATAACGTAACTTATCAGAATCGTACAGTTATGTAAATACAATTCGGGAAAGTAGATCGAGAGATTTCGGATAGAATCGATACGCTTTATCGATTCTACGTCGTTGTGAAAAAAGAATACGTAGCTATTTGCTCGTGTCGTTGCGCCCGATAATGCTCGATGAATATTCACACGGAAAAGGTTAATCGTATTGCAATTAATAGTGCATCGCTTGCAAATCTGGTTCGGTTGTCTGAATTAAAGCGGCATCGGTTTCGCTATCATATTCTATAATTAGCACGATTTTCCTGGGGAACTCCGATTTGCTCCTCGAGTCACCGATTATCGTGTCCCGGAGACAGATAAAATTTGTCGGCTTAATCGTCGTGCGAACGTGCGCGATGTCGCGGGATCTCGGTCGTACGCCACGATTTTGTAATTAATCGATATCGAAAGCGCGATATATTTTACGCATAATCAAACGACTGTGACGACCACGATGACGACGACCACGAACGACGGTTTAGCAAAGCAGTGGGGACGAAGTGAAAGTGAGTCGAGCATTGTTTAGGAAGCCTCGCACCGTTGCAGTGATTCTCAGCGTCGAGATTATTCGTCGCTGAAACGCCAGAAAAATTGTCGAAATCGTTAAGCACCCGAGTAATTTCTGTCTCTGCCTTTTGTTTCGACGCTTTCTCTTTAGTTGCTTCCATCTTGTCACTCGTGAAATTTTTACTGCTATTTCTACGTACACTAGAGTATTATAGGTACTCTAAATTAATTAAATAGTCCGATAGGAACTACAAGTTACATCAAAATATTATACTACTGCAAAATAATTTTTAAGTCACATTTCATCACCTTTGAAACAGAAGGCTCCTCCAGAATTTGAATCAGCGCGCCATTTTTGTACGCTCGCTTAGCTGAAGAGTCATACTCGTTACTACAAGACTACAACAAGTAACGATGTATCTATAAATTAATTAAATAGTCCGATAGGAATTACAAGTTACATCAAAATATTGTACTACTGCAAAATAATTTTTAAGTCACATTTCATCACCTTTGAAACAGAAGGCTCCTCCAGAATTTGAATCAGCGCGCCATTTTTGTTCGCTCGCTTAGCTGAAGAGTCATACTCGTTACTACAAGACTACAACAAGTAACGATATATCTATAAATTAATTAACTGGTCCGACAAGGACTACAAATTACATGAAAATATTATAATGTTGCACAAAAATTTTGAAGTCACATTTCATCACCTTTGAAACAGAAGGCTCCCCCAGAATTTGAATCAGCGCGCCATTTTTGTTCGCTCGCGTAGTTGAAGCGCCATACTCGTTACAAGTTACTACAACAAGTAACGAAGCTTTGTAATTGAACAAGTACGTTATCGACCGG